ACATGCAGCACTTAAGAATAATGTTGAGTCTGCAAAACACCGCATAATATGGATGAACTTGGAGGACATTATGCTGAGTGAAATAAGTCAATCACAGAAGAACAAATAAAGTATTAGTTTGTTGTTGTGGAGGGTCAAGGAAAGGTTTATATATGGAAGGAAACTTTCTTTGTTGGTTGCCAGGGTTGGGAGGGGAGGGGAGGGAATACTGCCAAAAAAAAAAAAAAAAAAAATGCATTGAGCCATGTCACTTTAGTTTTGTGTATTTCCTTGTACATAAATTATATTTCAATAAAATGCTTTTAAAAAAATGAGGATGAAATAAAAAATTTTTGTAGACATTCAAAAAACAAAACAAAACAAAAAATTATACTGAAGTCTTAGCACTTGTAAATATGAACTTGCTTGGAAATAGAGGTTTTCTTTGATATGCTAAAGAAGCCATACCAGAGTAGTGTCAACTTCTAAGTGTTGTCTTACAAATTAAAAAAGAATAGGAATAGATAGATACACACAGAGACACAAAACAATATCATCTTGCCTGAGGGAAAGACAGACACCAAGGGACACCCAGGGCTACCAACAAGGAAGGACCCTTCCTAGAGTCCATATCCCGATTTGGACTTCTGGCCTCCAACAGTGTAAGAAGATAAATTTCTGTTCTTTAAAGTCACCCACTTGTGGTATATTTTGTTATGGCAGCCCTAGCAAACTAAGATAGATGCTAACATATTTATGACATCAAATACAGACTCCTAACTGTGTAGCGTCCAAAAAAATAACCAAACCAAACTCACTGCTGTCAAGTCGGACCCAACTCATAGTGACCCCTCCTTGGGATTCCAAGGCAGTATCATTAGGGAAGTAGATTGCCCAACCTTCCTTCGGGTGTAGCCTTCAATTTTTAATTATTTCTTTGAAACCGTGAATCAGAAGTTCTTAATATGACTTCTGGACTTATTATGGTAAGAACTGGTTAATTAAAAAAAAAAAAAAAAGTACTTAAATGCATTTATTAGTAAAAGCCTCTGTGTGGCAGATCATTAACTGCCAAGGTCCTGCTGAGATACATACATGGTCTGCTTGTAAATTGCTTTTCTCCTTTAGGCCACAGTTAAGCAATAGAAGGCAGGAATTTGGGTCAGGCAGGTTGGAGTTTTAACCAATGCTTTTTGAAAGACTTTCCTGGTAACCTTGGTTTCACTTCTGAGTCTGTAAGGCAGAGATATGTGTTTGGAGGGAGAATTAAGCATATTTGCCTGAGCATCTTAAGAAAACAGGAAGAGGTTTCAGCAATCTCTTGGTCCAATACCCTGACTCACTAGGTCAAAAGCCTACAATTACTCTTCAGAGATTTGCATGCACCATTTCCTCAGCTCTTCCCACCCTCCTCAAGTCCCAGCAGTGATCCATTTTGTAGTCATTTCTGAATTAATAACCTAAAGAAATAAGCATTTATTTTGTGAGTGCTGATTTAAAACTATTTATTGAATGTTTTGCTTTCTGCTGGTATTTACTGTCATTTCTTGTTTAACATCTCTCTGATCTCAGGGTTAGAAGCCCAGGGTATCTGAGAAGTCTGGCTTATCCTTTTATCTTATTACTAAATCTCCAGGGAGAGGTTTCCTCTAGCATAAATTTTAAATTGTTCTACCTTAAATTCTTCCATGTTCAGCCAATTGTAAGAACAATGTGTTCCCACTCTCTGCCTAATAGACCCTCACATTCTTTAAGTCAGATGTTTCTCTTCTTTTCACCAATGTAAATAATACCTATTTACTTTTAGCCTTTACTCATTTTTCTCTTAAACTATGAGAATCAGAAAAATCTCTAATTGACTTAAAGAAGATAACATGCTAAATGGCCTCTGAAAGAAGTAACAAAATTTCAGTTGGATGATATTTTGTGCTTCTTCAGCCATCTATCTATATGTGCTCTAGTTCATCAATAATTAAAAAGAAAATATTCTAAAATCTCTGTCTTGGGCTGTGTTCTCTAGAGAAGCAAAACCAGTGAAGCTTAAGCATACATACACACACACACACACGAGCGTGCGTGCGTGTATATATATATATATATATATATATATATATATATATATACACATACATACACACATACACATATATGTATACTTATACATATGTGTGTGTGTGTGTGTATTTATCTCAAGGAAATGGCTCACACAATTGTAGAGGCTGACAAGTTCTAAGTCCATGGGTCAGACATTAGGTTGGAGCCTTCTTCTAACTCACATAGCTGCATGAGCTGATGAATTTAAGATAGGCAGGTCAGATGGCAGGCTGCTGCTGTGGAGGCAGATGAATCCAAGATCGAAAGGCAGGATGGCAGGCTGCTGGCTCATAGGCTGTGGAGGCTAAGGAAACCCAAGGTTGGCAGGCAATAAGGCAGGCTGCTGGCTCAAATCCAAAGAACCGGAGGTCAGATGATGACGAGCCAGATGCAGGATCCAGATTGATCAAAAAGCCAGAGAGCCTTGACAAGATGTCTACATATATTGGGTGCAGGGCACACCCCAAAGGAAACTCCCTCTGGTGGCTCATAGCAGATCTCATCATAGAGATGATTATATAATGTCAGATCTAATCATGGAGTTGATTAGATTATATCGGAATAGGGGATGATTACATCATTACATAACTGCCAAACTATAAGTGCCAGACCACTGAGAATCATGGCCCACCAGGTTGACACACAACCTTAACCATCACTATCTCTAAACTTCCTTCTCCACAAACTTCTTCAAACTTTCCTTTCCACCAAAGCTTATTTTATAACTATACCACTTAATATAATAATAATAATAATAAAACCTTGTCATACCTACCCCTATGCCTTGATTTTTTACAAACTAACCCTTAAATAATATTATCATCCTTCCCTCCAGCACTCAAAAAAAACAAACCAAATTCACTACCATTGAGTCGGTTCCAACTCATAACAATCTCCACTGGGTTTCTGAGGTGGTAAATCTTTTCAGAAGTAGATTGCTCCATCCTCCTTCCACAAAATAGTTAGTACGTTTGAACCACCAACCTTCTGGTTAGTGGTTAAATGCCTTAGGCACTACACCACCAGAGCTCCTTCCCTCCAGCACTGCTCATCCCCTTATCAGATTTTATTTTTCTCCAGAAGACTCATCACCATCTGACATGCCAAACATTTCATTTATTTTGTTTATTGCTTATTTTCCCCTCCCCTGGAATGTAAGCTCCACAAGGGCAGAGATTCTTATCTGTTTCGTTCATGGCTGCATTCTCAGTTCCTAGAATATTGCTGGCACAGAATAGATACGCAATAAAAATGTGCTGAATAAGTGAATAAGTTTGTGCTCTGTTTCTAGCACTGGAAAGATCTGCAAGAATAGAACAACAAATACCCAAAACAATACAAGTCAGGAAATAAAAAGCATGAAATATTTCATATCATTATAGATTATAAAAAGGATCAAAGAGGGTCAACCACATCAATAAAATGATGACCCAACTAAGCATCAAAAAGCAGAGAGCTTGCGTCAGGAAATGCAAGAGAAAAACTCTTAATAAAGAAACCTACAATAGGATTAGCAGCTCTATAAACAATTGTCAAGTGGTAGGAAAGATGAAGACCAGAGCCTGCACATTCATTGCACTTATATGGCAAAGAAATAAAATTGAAAAGTGGAACTTGGGTTTCCAGGTTTCTTAACTTTAAATATTAACATATTTAACATGGGTGAAGATCTGTCAGTTGATCATTATGATGTGAGGTTCATACAGAATATTGTAGCATCATGTATCTACCATCTCATGGTCAATAAAACAGAATGCTGGTGGAGGAGTGATCATGGACTGAGTGCTGAAAAAGTTGAGTGAATAGAGTGAAAATGTAAGACAAGGAAAAGATCCCAAACCAAACCCACTGCCGTGGAGTTGGAGCTGACTCATAGTGAACCCTCCTTAGGTTTCCAAGGTGGTATCACTACAGAAGTAGATTGCCCAACCTTCCTTCTGAGGAATAGTAATGGAATATTATGCAGCCATAAAGAGAAATGAAATTCTGATGCATGCTACAACATGGATGAACCCTGAACACATAATGCTGAGCAAAATAAGTCAGTTGCAAAAGGCCAAATACTATATAATCTCACTTATAAGGAGCTCTGGTGGCTCTGTGGTTAAAGCATTGGGCTGCTAATCAAAAGATTGGTTCAAGTCCACCAACCACTCCATGGGAAAAAAATGAGGTAATCTGCTTTGAGCCTTGGAAACCCTATGGGGCAGTTCTACTCTGTTCTATAGGGTTGCTATGAGATGGAACCAACTCCATGGCAGTGGGTTTGGTTTAGGTTTTATATGAAATAAGCAATATATACATACCAAAGATTATTAATGGTTATCAGGGGTGGGAGAGAGGGGTACTGTGTGTGTGTGTGGGGGGGGGTACTGAATTTATGCTAATGATAGTGGAATGTTTTCTTGAGGGTAGTCATAATTGTGGTACAACAAGAAAAATGTAATGATTGTCAAAAACCAAAAAACCAAACTCATTGCCATCGAGTTGATTCTGACTCATAGCGACCCCCTTTGGGTTTCCAAAGCAGTAAATCTTTACAGAAGCAGATTGTCTCATCTTCCTTCTGTGGAGCAGTTGATGGGTTTGAACTACCAACCTTCTGGTTAGCAGTCAGATGCCTTAGGCACTGGTGAGAACTTCTTTGAGCTGTGAATGTGAAAGTTGTGTTGGTAGATATTTTGGTGTGCATGCTTTCACAAGAGAAAAAGAAGAGAGCTGAACCAGAAATAGCAGAAAGAGGAAGGAGGACACTAAGATAAGAGTAGAAACAGTTAAAACAGAAGAACAAACTCAGCACAATGAAAGGTACGGCATATGAGAAGGAAGTGGAGGTTAGCCTGCCAAGTGTTGCAGAACAGTGAAGGAGTATGAGATCTAAGAGAGGTCTATTGGCTTCACAGTGTCTGAGACTATCCACCTGCTATTCAGATGTACAAGAACCATGGGTATATAGTAAGTTCTAAAAAGAACACAGTGGGCATCTGCAGAGGGAGAGGAAAAAGCAGACTGGAGTAGTCAATATAGCTTAGAAGAAAGAGCAAAAATGCAAAGTCCACCTATACATGGGTTGGAAATCAGTTTATCAATCCTTAGCTGTGAAACTTCAGGCACATTCCTTAACCTCTGTGAGCTCCAAAACCTCACCTTTAAAATGGGGATCATACCTATCTGGCAGGGTGTTATCAAATTAAATGAGAGAGCATCTGAAAACTATCAGGCACATAGTAGGAATTCAGTAGATGTTAGTTCTGTGTCAAGCTACTACTTCTCAGCCCAAATTGCCATTTCTTTGGTAATCCAAAGGCTGTGGTTTGACACCTCTGGGGCTCTTTCAGGGACTTCTGGTGGCACAAAGGTTAAGGGCTCAACTGCTGACCAAAAGGTTGGTGGTTCAAACTCACCTAGCTACTTTATGAGAGAAAGACCTGGTGATCTGCTCCCATAAAGATTACAGTCTAGAAAAATCCCATGGGGCAGTTCTACTAAGTCGTGTAGGGTCACCATGAGTCAAAATTGACTCAGTGGCAAACCATCATTTGTCCTTGAAGACATGGGAGGATAGAAACAGAAGTCAACTGGGCTGCAGTGCATGAGGAAATATCCAGGCATAGAACCTGTGATCCCTGAGAATTGACCAAGCTGAACCTATTCAACATAGAACCACTGTTCAGATGGGTCTTGATGGAAGGATGATCCCATGGTTGGGCCCCGCCCTGCACCCTCCCCATGGTCTGAGTTGAGTGTCCCACATCTACCTGGTAACACCAACCAGAACTCATCAAAATGGTCAAACAAATTGAGTTTTATAAATAGTCTTGAAAAGTCAAGGGAAAGAAGTTATATCAGTAAGTAATCTGCTAATCTTTATTTCCTCAAATACAAATAGAATGAAGTGTAACATTCCATAATGAAAATAAGATAACTTTGCTTCCCTGAAGAACCAAATGATTTCTATGTTTCGTTTGACTTTCTAAGGTTCTACCATCTATTGTCATAAATGTTTTAATTTGGATTTTTTTTTCTAACATGCTAAATTAAGTACTGCCTCCTTCTTAAAGATCTCTGAGAATCTAAATGAGAATGCCAAATTCCTTATGAAATCCATCTCTTGCATTCAAAGATATAGGTATAGTGAGCAAACAGGTCATCTCACCCTTTAAATCGTACCTCCCTCATTGCCCCGTGTATTTTAAGTTCCGTGGTTTGTTTTCTTTAACCAAAGCATACAGAATTTTCCAAAATGAGCAGGATTTCATTTTCCTTTCAGTTCACTACTTTCTGTTTCTTGAATGTCAGATCAAAAATCATAATTGTATCATCCAATAAATAAACAACAACAAAAAAAAACACTAAGGATAAACAAAACAGGAGACTTTCTGTTGCAGAAAAGCTGCTAAGGCCCCTGGCAATGAGGACCACAGCACTCACCTTGCCATTGTACCAGATGCTTTCATTTCCCTCTGGATCAACATCATCCGTTGCCAAGGTGAGGCAGACCAATCTCCGTTTCAGCCCCTTGGCTTTAATCTGTTTCAGTGCTTGCTTTCCTATGAAGTCTGCTGGCTGCAGGAATCCAAGATAATGATGATGAATGAATGCTCAGACACTGTGACAAGGTTAGAGATGCAAGCATTTAAATTTGTCTTTGCTATTTTCTCGCCAATTACACATTAAATAAAAATACAGATTGGATCAAATGTCTAGACAAATATTTCTTAGTCCTCAAATGACAGGATCAGCCACCTATTCCTTCAGAGTATGTTAGATTTAAGGGTAATAACTTGTGATGACAATTTTATCAGAACCACCTATGCAGAAAAACATATGGGTTATACTGCAATGGTGATTTATGAAAGTGACCCTCACATCCAGTGGTTTTAGACATTGGTACTGGCTGTCAGTGGCCAAAGTGCAACTCAATTTCTACCTATAGTAAACCTTTTACAAGGAGGAGATTCACTTTTTTGAAATGCTATACTTTCATTTTTTGCCCCCTTAGTTAGAATAATGATCCCTGAAATATATTAACAATAGTTATTGGGTCACATTTGTTAGCTCACTTAGGAAACATTGAGCCTTTACTATGAAACATAATGCTAGGCCCTGTGGGGGTTACAAACTGACTCAAAGATATTTTGATTAAAGAGCTTATTCACTAACACTGCGGTTTTCAACCATTGTTTTTCTTCTTTCATGAAACACATAACAGATGACATTCCTATTCCTAATATACTCCCATGGGCACACACAAAGTTATTCCCAATGCAGTGCAAGTGAGAGAGAGTAATACTGTTATAGGAATAACCTTGAATCCATTCTTATGCAATAAAAAAGAATCAAGCAAAATTCAAGACTTTAACATTTATTAGTAACACACTTTATAACTGAATATATATACAAGTGGACAATGAAATGACTCTTCAGTTAATAAAACCAAACTCACTGCCGTCAAGTCAGATCTGACTCATAGTGACCCCTCCTTGGGTTTCCAAGGCAGTATCAGTATGGAAGTAGATTCCCCAACCTTCCTTCCAAAGAGTGGCTGGTGGATTTGAACCACCAGCCTTCTGGTTAGCAGTCAAATGCCTTAGGCACTATGCCACCAGAGCTCCCCATCAGTTAATAAGAGAAGTGAAACCCTACCCAACAAGAATTCCAAAGGAAACTTTATCAGTGTGATTAAATAGGGAGAGGCTAAGAGCAATGGTAGCGTAGTGCCTAAGGAACTTGACTGCTAATCAGAAGCCTAGTGGTTCAAACCCACCAGCCACTCCTCTGAAGGAAGTTTGGGCAATCTACTTGCATAGTGATACCACCTCAGAAACCCAAGGAGAGGTCACTATGAGTCAGGGATTACTCAACGGCACATAACAACAACAACAAGAGCAATGAGCACAGGAGGAAAGGCTGACGTCTCAGTGGGACTTTAGGGTAAGTCTTCTAGATAAATGTGCACAAACAAGCATCTCTTATTTTATGGGGGGTAAAAGAGGGTGTGATACATGAATCATTTCTCTGGTGAATAAGATTTAATCAGAGATCGTTGTGTTTTTAGATGCCATTAAGATGGTTTCAACTCATGGTGACCCCATGTAACAAAGCAGAATTGCCCCCAAAGTTTTTCTAGGTTGTAATCTTTATGGAAGGAGTCTGGTAGCACAGTGCCTAAGGCACTTGACTGCTAACCAGAAGCCTGGCGGTTCAAACCCACCACCAGCCACTCCTCGGAAGGAAGCTTGGGCAATTTACTTCTGTAGTGATACTGCCTCAGAAACCCAAGGAGGGGTCGCTATGAGTCAGATCTGACCCAATGGCACATAACAACAACAACAACAATCTTTATGGAAACAAATCACTAGCTTTTTGTCCCATGGAGTTGCTAGGATTTTAACTACATTTTGGCTAGCAGGCAAGCACTTAACCCTTGTACTACCAGTCTCCTTAATCAGAGATGTAAAAAACAAGATACTTGACACTGTTCTCATACACAAACTACTTTCTGAAAGAAAGTATCTGTGTTTCAGATACTGTGTTAGGCATAAAAGTATTCAGAGGTACGTAGGACAACCACAAACTTTAATTCTTTCCTTAGGCATAAAAGAAAAGGAAATAATATTTTATGCCAGAGATGTCCACCATCACCAATAGTTAGTGTTTATATAGCTCTTTCTGCATATAAAACATTTAGGATTGAGTGCAATAAATCCCCCCTTTTAAAATTCCAGTGAAGCAGCAGGCAGGGTTCCTCAGGCTTTCAGACCCCCAGTTCACTCCTTTCTGGTTCAGAACTAGGATGAGACCATACTTCAAGATGGTTCCTATGGATCTTTCAACTCTGAATTGCTGACTGTACAGGAAACTACAGACAGTTTTTCCATTAGACACTGTTAAAGTAATGTACAAAATGAAATTCTAATTCTTTCTTCTTCCTCTGTGTGATCTAAATGAAGATGACCAAGTATACCTATAAAGTTTATTATGACAACAAAATGAAAAACTGACCCTACTTATTTAAGGCAGAACTTCTGAAAAAGAGAAAGGGAAAGAGAGAATAACCATTCAGAAAGAGCTTGATTTGCTTTAAGTCCTTATGGGCAAAAAATTGTGATGACAAAACAAACCTAAGTTCATTAGAATTAAAACATGTATATCTATCCAAATCAAACAAACAAACAACAACAACAACAACAAAAAAAAAAACACAAAAGAACAACTCTATAACAAAAGAAGACTTGTTACTTTGGATAAATCATGACTAGAAGTGATTTTTAGAATTGTTGTCTATATAGAAAGAGTCAATAATTACACTGAAAAAAATGTAACATCTTAATGGGTAGAAAAGCACTTCTGACTACCGAACAAAAATGAATGGGCAATTCACTGTACAATGTGATGTGAAGAGTGTCAAACCAACACTCTGCTATGGAGTTGGATCCTGATTCACAGTGACCCTACAGGATGGAGTACAACTGCTCCTTGGGGTTTTCAAGACTGTAAATCTTTATGGAAGCAGACTGCCTCATCTTTCTCCTGCAGAACAGCTGGTAGGTTTGAACTGTCAATATTTTTGGTCAGCAGCCAAATGCTTTAATCACTGCACCACCAGAGCTCACTGTAGTGTCAGGTGATCCTAAATGGTTTTCTCACCTTCCATTATGGAATCTGAAACTTTAATATTAGAGATTCATTTAGATATTGAAGGTTACACATCTTCCTGAATTTCTGTAAAAGAAGTTTCTTTGAATTATTTATTCAACAGTTGTTATGCATCTGCTGTGTCTCAGATACTGTGTTAGGCACAAAAGTTTTTCAGAGCTAAGTAGGACATGGTGTTATAGTTTCAGGCCACATTACAAAATGCCCCATCCTGAAATTATTACATCTCCTCAATGCTCTAACATGTTAGCAGAAAAGAGAATAATTTGAGATTATTGGAAATATGGTAGGATGTGATACAAGATACCACATGAAATCAGCTGTACACATTTTGAAACATGGCTCATGACTGGTTTTGTTTGTTCTATGAGAGTACAGAAATCACAAATATTTTGTAAACATAAAAGAAGTACAATGCGTGGATGCAGAAATGTAAACAAACAGATACCCTGATAGAGGTATGTACAGTGGGGGCCCAAGGAAGAGTGTGGTCAGTTCTACTACCTGGGGTAGGAGACAGGGCTTCTGTCAGCAACAATTTTATAGAGGAAGTAGCTTGAGTTGAGTTTTGAAAGATGAGCATGTGTGCATAATAATTACTGTCTGCTTGGTCTTTTCCAAAAGTACTTGCACTTACATTATAATTTGATCCTCACAAAAACCCACAGATGGTGGATTTGGAACTAAAAGAAGTACACTAACTTATCCAAAGGCAATCAGCAAGCTGGTTAAAAACCAAGATCTCAGGAGATCTAGCCTTGATCTTTTCCTCTACTTTGAGCTTACTTAACCTAGCCACTTAAGTCAGTATCTAGTACACCGTGGGAAGGGTCAAGGTGAAAGCTGGCCATGACCAAAGTTCTCAGAAATGGGGCCCTCTATTGGTGCTGGATGAGGACTACTGGGGTGGGTGCCAGGAAGGGGATGAAATGTACTGGAAGGGGAGCTTAACTCTGCCTTTGCCAAATTCACATTTTACTAAGGGCTAAGTTGAAATATAAAATATCTAATAATCATGAGAAAAACAGAAACAAGGGGTGAAAAAAAAACAGAAAACTTTCTTTAGAAGAAAAAAAAGTACTCCAAAGAAAGAAAATCTAATGTTTGCATTCAATAAAAATAATAAATAATATTAGTAAATAACATTCACAATTTATTAAGCACTTGCTATGAACCAGACACTATGCTGAGGGCTTTATTCTCATGAGCTCCTCTAATCTCATGACAACCCTATGAAAGAAAGATTTTAAAAAATTTTTTTATTGTGATTTGAGTGAAAGTTTACAGAACAAATTCATTTTCCATACAGCAATTCATACACTTTTTGTCTCACGACATTGACTGCAACTGCCCACAATGTAATAGCTCTCTTCCCACTTCCTCCCCATAGTTACCTCTTCCTTGTGTCCTTACCTCCAATGCACTCCCAACCTCCAAGCTGTCTCCTTGTGCAAACACTTCCCTTCTGTTCTCCCATGATTGATCGCTTCGAGTAACATATCTACATGATGTATATGTTCACCCCATAGGCTTGTCTACTGTTTGGCTGGAAGCCACAGGAGTGGGTGGATAGGGGCCATTGTCTCAGGAGTCTCATCAGGTTCTATCAGGACAGCAAAGGTGTTTTTTTTTTTTTTTTTTATGATTTTGAGTTTTGTTCCAGATTGTTTTCCCACTCCATCCAGGATCTCCTGTACTGATCCCTCTCTGAGTGGTTGACAGTGGTAACAGGGCACCATCTAATTCTTCTGGTCTAATGGGTATATAGACTGAGGATCACCAAGTCTACCAGTACCTTGGACTAATTGTTTCCATGCATCTTTGGTTTCCTTCATTATTCTTTGCTCTGGATGAGGAGAGACGTATCATTGCACATAGATGCCCACTTGCAAGCTTTTAAGAACCCA